GAAGATGGTAACTGCTGATTCGATGACTTCGATCCTGTTATTTACTTTCCCAATGGTTTGTCTGTAATACCTAACCATTAAACAGTAGCGATGTATGTGTGTTAATTGTGACTTGTTATGCTTCTTGCTTTTCATGCTGAGAAGCCAAAAACTCCTCTAATGTTGATCAAACTTTAGCTGTAGGGGTTGATCGTGTAAAGTAATTAGGATGACCACGACACAACATTATTAAGTAGATCCTAATGTCATTTGGTCTTTAGTTGTAGAAAGGCTTCTGTCCTATTGCTTCTATTCATCTCTTAGTCTCTTACTCGATCATGCCTATCCTTCAAAACAAATGCCATCTGTGTTTGAGGAGATGGCTCTTTTGCTTTACAGATTATTTGGTTTTTCATTGTCTTTTGAATCTGAATTGGATCTTAGAGATCAGATGTTGAAGCAGGCTGGCATCAAGTGAAGCCTTTGCCACCCTATTTAATCAGCTTGTTTTTCTTTTATAGTTTGATCATAGTTATCCTTTGATTCTACCCATTATAATATTTTTTTTAGTACACGTGGGGTTGGAGATTTAAACCCACGATCTTTTGGTTTGAGATAATGTTTTAACCAGTTGATGATAACAAGGGAAAAGTTTTAAGACGAGTTGTTTGTGGAAAAGTTTTCCACAAAAATAAATATTCCTAGAAAGACAATGCCACCATATAGTCTATACTGTATTCAAACAAATAAAACCATCATATTACAGGGACAACTTGACCAATAAATATGAGTTGGCTTAAAGAACCCTATCAATTATTCGACGCCCCCACCACATTTGTCTTTGCTAAAAGAAAAACAACCGATCCAACAAGCATATATATATTATATAGTGAAGATTATAAGATAACGGAAGAGGTGGACATGTAAGAGAACTATGCCATGAATTCAAATTCTCGATAAAGATTGGAACTTTGTTCAAAGAATGTTAGGTGAAGAGATAAACATGTTGAGGGTATGTCGTCAACTTGAGCATAATTTGCTAGTTAAACATATATTTTCGACATAAAAGTCATAAGTTCGAATCTTCACTCACACATATTGTATTAAAAAAGAAAATATATATCGAAAGTATGTCTCGTAAGTAGTTGAGATTATGAGTGCAAAAATATATTTACAATTTAGTAAAAAGTGCTAGTTTTTATAAATTATTTTTATATTTGTTTCTCATCCTCAAAAGTATTTTGAGTGCTTTTTTTTTTTCTAGTTTAGCATTTGGGCTAAAAGCCCTTTCTCTCCAAGCATTTTTAAATTGATACCATTAGTTTTTTTTTTTTTTTTTCAAAATTTGATTTGCATCTCATTGGTCTCTTTTAACATTTAAATTCATTCTGTTTTAGTTCTTAATCTTTAATAATTTTAGTTATATCAATCATTATTCTGCTTTTAATATTCGTCCCACATGGTACTTGATACTTATTTCCGTCAATCTATATAATTTTAGTGCATGCCCATTTCACTGTGTTATTACACATGTTTGACAATAAATAATGAAAATGATTAAAATAGACATTTTAAAAATTCAGTAAAATGAAATTAATGAATTGACAAATTGAAATGAAATTATTTAGGTAGCGCCAGTGCATGCCCCTTTCAACATGTTAATGCACATCTTTGAAGTTTCGTCTCTCATTAACAATAAAATAATGAAAATGATTAAAATAACTTTTAATTTTTATTAAATGAAAATAGGCACCGAGTAAAATGAAATAAATGGAGAAATGAAATTTCACATGGAAGATTATTAGGATGAGGCCCAATATGATCTTTGCTTTGGCCCAGTGGAGGTTGTCCTTATTATGCTTGCAGACAAGAATTGGTTCGCGAAGGTCAAGCCTGCACATTTAAACTAAATATTTGTTGTCCTTTTTTTTTTAGAAATAAATATTTGTTGTCTTTATAAACTATTGGATGTCATTTTTTATATAATCCAAAAAATCAAATCAATTACAGATTTTTAATATTATTGGATTGATGATTGAGTGGGCCATGACTATTTATCTTTGATTTAAATAATGTATTTATTTCGAGATCTATACTTTCAAAACGTTTATTTTAATTCTTGTATTTTCAATTTTTGTTCATTTTAGTCATTATAATTTTAAAAAGTTCATTTTGATCATTGTATTTTTAATTTTTATTCATTTTAGTCCTTGTACTTTCAACATATCTATTTTGATGTTCCTAAAAATGAAAATAGAGAGACGAAAAAATATTTACTTTTTCAAAGTACGTGGACTAAAATAGATGTTCAAGAATTACAAAGACAAAAATGAACAAAAGGAAAAAATATAATGACTAAAATAGCATTTAAACATTATCTTATTTACCAACATTACCAAATATATTTGAATATTAAGGTGTTTATGATATCGAGTGAAACAATTTGAGCCAACTCGATTGGATGCTATTAACACGCCTAAAGTGTTTGCAGTCCTCCAAAATGGGCGAGGTACAATCATTTCCGAAATTTCTACTCTAATATAGACATTGAGTACCACCATTTATTTTTAATATAACACTACACGAAATTGTATATTTGAATTCAAGACCTTTTAATCATAAATACATATCTTTAACCTAAAGTTGAAAAGGTATATAAAATAGATTCATTTTGTGATGTTAAAATAGATAAATATTGAGATTTAAATCTGGCCCACAAGAACCAAACTAAAAAACATGTTGGGTGAGAGTTGGAAACTGGAATTATTTATTTGTTTTTTTTTTTTTTTTATTGTTAGAGGAGTGGGGTCAAAATTGGAAAGTTGAACTGAGAGGATGAGACAGAAGTTGCAGAGGGTGCTTAGAAGTTAGGCTTTTGAATTTTAAAAATATAAAGTGGGTTCTGTTTTTTGGCTGCAGAAACTGAAGAGATTCAGAAATGGCCGTATCTGGTTTTGGATGCACAATTGAAATTGCTTTGGAGTTTGGAATTCAATAATTTCAATGAAACCAAACATTTCTCAATCAGTTTTGAAGTGATTGACATGATCTATCTCTGTAATTTAATTAATCTCACAAATCCATACACTCTCTCCTCAAAATTACATAATTTGGGTTGTGCTCTCATCTCATGAAAATTTTACATCTTGGGTTTTATTTATATCCTAGTTAAGTTACAAGTTTGATCCCGAACGTATAACGATCGTCAGGTTGAAAAGGAGTAGAACGGTGTAGCTCAATACATAAACAAGCAGAAGTTTGCTTTGAAGTAGCCATGATTGAATAGTGAATTAATTGATCACTCTTGTGTTAAAATGCATGATCAGGGATAAGCAATAATCTCTGTGAATGTTCGAATTAGCTTACGCACACTTTGACTAATCTCACATGCATAGGCGATAAAGAGAGAAGCATTTACTCAAACAGTGATGAACGAAGCTTATCTAAATTCCTCAACTTCTAAATCTGTCTAGATCTTTTTGGTAGGCCAAACTTTAAAAATTTTGAATTAGTGTATGAAGTTTTAATAAGTTAGAAAATTTGTTATATTGGAAATAAATTTTAAAGTTTAAAAATTGAAAAATTTATTAATTGCAACTTAAAATTTAAGTGACCTATTAAATTATGACTTATTTGGATAACAATTAAATAATAATAAGAAAAAAAAACTTAGCCTCTTAAAGTTAAGTTTAAAGAAGAAGAATGAAAAAATTAAAATTAAAAAAAAATAATGAGTTATCAAATATTTAATGGTATTAAGTACGAACTTCCTCATTAACTTCAAGAATGTCCTTTTTTTTTTCAAATAATGATAAAGTTACAATGTTGTCTTTTTTAAGAAGTGGCTTGAGTGAATATAGAGCATCACTAGACGGGAAGACCACGTCACAAATTACCTTAAAGAAGTGACCCACATTCCAAAAGACTTTTGGCGGAACTTTGTTTTTGCATTTCTCTTTCTTAGTTGTGAAATATTTAATGACAGTGAAGACAAGATTGTTCATTACTGTTAAGAAGTTAAATATTTTCCTTTTAAAAATTTACATCACTTGATTCCAATACACACAACAACAATTAATTCATTTTCGCAATTAATTATGTGTTGTCTCTATAAGTAATTTATAGCCTATTTGAGATCACATTGGTCAAAAAGAGAATAATAGATTAAAGCCTATGCAAGAGCTTAGGTTCGTACATCAGTTGGGTAAAAAAAAAGAATAATAATTGAGATGGAGACTTAATTTATCTGACCTACATTATATTACCTTAATTAACTAACATGTTATATTTTATTTACCATATAAAGAGACAATTACTCACTATGCCTTTACTATAAACGTAAATTCCCTTAGATAATTATACAAAAGATTTATCATTTAAGAATTAATTATTATTGGTTGTGTTTTGCCCTACCTCACGTGTATGCTTGCTGTCTGTCACTTAAAACAATGACAACTCAGACGCAAATAAATGTCACCCCTCCTTGTATTTTTCATCCACTTCTTCAATCTACCATAATATATGTATGGCGAAAAAACGAGTCGCTCTTTTACCGCTCGTAAATAAATATCGTTGAACTCAAAAACTTAAATCAATAGGTAATTTGTATAAATTATAGTTATAATAAAAACACACTATACAACCTATAGGGATGGTGATTTTTGAAGAATTTGTATATGTTGTTCAAGACGATGAGAAGGGTGGGGAAATAGCAAGAACCGAATGCCGAAAGCAGGAAAAAACATCTCATAATGTATTTAACAATAAAATTGATTATGGTGCGCTTCTGTGGAAGTATCTACTCGTTGTGAAAATCTCATGTGTCTAAAAGCAGCTTTTACATTTAAAAAGAAAAATCTGTATATATTATTCAAGTCTATAAGAAGGTGTGGAGATAGCAAGAACTAAAGTAGAAAAAAACATCTCATAATGTATTCAACAATAAAATTGATTAGGTTGCACTCTTGTGGAAGTATCTACTCGTTTATGAAAATCTCAGGTGTCAAAATGTGGCTTTCATATTTAAAAAGAAAATGACGAGTTAATCATATCCGAAACGTATAAAATGTAGCAAATATCGTAAAAGTAGATTACGATCATTTGATAGAAAATACATGCCTTAACCACTCAAAAAACATGCTGTCAGAGTAAACCTTTCGAAGCTATCACAATGGCCCTCTAACAAATAGTTAGATGTAGATTCGAAAATATTCATGCCCCTCGTACCTTTCTATATGAGGCCTTTCGGATGAAACCAACAACAAGGCTGTGAATGTTATGTCCAAAGCGAACAATATGAAGTACGAGAGCATCATTGTATCCTTATAGTGTAAAATTGTGAGCCATATTTAAGATGGAGCGGGGGAATTAGCGAGTAAGGAGAGGAGGAGGTCGGAGAAGGCAGTGATAATGAATTTATGAGTGTGGTTTGGATTCAAGCGGAGATAGCAAGAGAGCAGCTCCTCCAAATACTCCCAATCGCTTCTCACATTCTCCATTTCCCGAGCTTCTATCATCTCCTCCATCGATCGCCGGAAGTCCGCGTACGGGTCCACCGAATATTTCCCCATTTTCACGGCCGAGGACGACGGCGGCGGGGGCGGCGACGACGACTCTAATATGGAGTTGGACCGCCCCGGGGACGAGAAGAAGAAGCGGCGCGATGCGAGCACGCCGGCCAAGTCGGAGGAGGAGATGGAATCGTCGGAGGAAGAGAAGCAGTCGCCGTCGCCGTCGCCGTCGGAATTGGAATTGGCGGGAGCGGCGGCGGTGGCGGCGGCCGTCGGTAGGCACTTGCGTTTGGAGAAGAAGTTTAGAAAGAGATTAGACATTTTTTGAAGGGGACATCGTTGAGGCCACACACATACATTTAAATAATGCTCTCTCCGTGTGCGCTTATTTTCTAGTCTTCAGTCTTTTAAAATTTAGTAAATTTCGCTTATTTTCTAGATTTCAATCTTTTAAATTTTAGTAAATTTATTATAAAATATTTTTGGTTTCAAAAAACGTTACCAAAGTTCTGGTTGTTAAAATAATTTAGTTTTTAGTTAATCTTTAAAGTTTGAGTTTGATTCTAATCTATTCTGAATTATGTTTGAATTGAATTGAGCTTGAGTCAGATTTTTAATCTATAAGTTTGAGTTTGATTTCATGATTCCTAATTTAAGAAATGATGATGATTTATAACTTAACCTAAGGACCAATTAAAAAATTAAATTAAGAGATTGAAGGATGGTAAACAGAGCGAAAAATCGAAGCTAGGTTCGAATTGAGCGATTATATTCTTACAATTTTGTTCAATACTTAAAAACCATATCATGCCAGTTAATTTCACTTGTTCTATGTTGTTTTTAAATTTCACAATTTTTTTTTTTATAATCAAGCTCCAATTAATTATTGTACAATTGGACATATTTTATTAAACGAAAATGATTAATCTAATTTAAATATTTTGCGATCCACAAATTATGAGGAGCTGTTCCATTATTTTCAAATTCAAACACCGAACATATCTTTTATACAAGTTCACAAGTACCATGCAGACCTAAATTAGATAATTCTTTATAATATTTTCCATTAAGACAATTGTCCATGAAATCTGATTACATCCTTAACAATTCCATTTTTTTAAATAAGAGGAACAATTTAAGCCTTTTCTTCATTGTTTTCTTATAGAGAATTTATATCCATAGGTCAATAAGTCAATTCTTCTGATATGGAGCAATTACATTATGAACTAAATGAAAGCACTTCAAAGAATATTTACTCCATAAGTTTGTATATCCAAAATTAAACAAGGCTGCCTAGTAAAACAAGGCTGCCAAGTATAGGTCGAAAGTTCAAACCCCAAACCCCTAATTACCGCTCCTCTTGGGGTAGTCGAAAGTTCAAACCACAATATCCTTCGTGGTACTTACTACTTCCTCACTAAACACATACAACACAAAATCTAACATTCATACATCTATGGCAAACTCAAAAGAAAAGAAAAAAAATCTGATGTAGGGCTTTAACAATTTGGAGGGGTCCATTATTTTATGTTTGCTGTGTTATTTAATATTTGGAACTTTCAACAAGAGGGATGATAGTACAGGAAGTGACAGCAGAAGGTCATCAACATGAGAGAAGCCACATGTGTTTTTACCATTACTGTGTCATACAAAAAGGTTCCTACAATGCATTGAGACCCAAATTTAGATGCCTGTGGCTACCGATACTGACGTTTCCTAAGGACCGCAGTGGGAAGAGAATCTATTTGGTATTGCTTTTACTCAACCAAAACTTGCCCAGATTTAATCAAATAAGGAAATGACAACACAAGAAACAGGAGATCCCTAAATTTGATGTGGGTTAGTCATGCTTAATTTAATGTTGAATTGGGTTAAAGGGAAAAAGAGCGTACTGTTGGATTGTGATTGAAAAATGAAGTAGCTTTCATCTTTTGAATGAACCTGAGCCTGCGCCAGCTGCTGCAGCTTTCGTATGGCAGCAGCCCTCCACGGGTGCAGAGCCAGCCAGCCAGCCCATTTCCTCTTCGCCACTTATTCTATTTTTCAATAAAATTCAGTACACTCAGACGAAACTTGGACCGTCCATTGTTATGTTCTACGCTACGCTTGCATGTGAATCTTGGCCAATTCCATACGTCTTATTCATCTGTTCATTTATTGAGCAACATCGGATCTTTATTGAAATGAGTTGATGCCATCTTTTTTTGTGAAGTCTATCACTGCAAAGAAATAAAAACACAAACAAACAAACTTAAACGTATTATACAAACGAAACAACCCCTCACCACTCTTCTCACGCTCGCTATGGCGCATTATTAACGGTCTCATTGAGCCTGGCGGCTTCTGTCATGGACTCCGCCACCCCACCAGGGTGGGCCGCCAGCCTGGCATTGTTCCTTAGCTCTGCACACATCACCCCTTCCGCGTCCTGCTTCGTCACCACTTTGTCCGCTGGCAGCCTCGTCGTCGCATCCTGCAATGTCGTGCCCCATCAATTAGTTTAATGGTAATTCAACATGCTATCCGAGCTTCTTGTTACTTGCAGGATGTAAGACTAATTTCCAAGCCCTTCAGTGAATAAATGACTAAAAATAAGCTATTGGATTCAATGATATAGTTAAACAAATTGCACATGTGAGTCAAACACTGGTTGCTCTGGGGTTTGTTAGTTCATACGCACCATTAGGATGTCGCTCAGTTTAATCTTATCTTCATCCTTGCTAACCCCAGCGTTGAAAGAAGCCGCGGACTGAGCGCTGGCCGCAAGCCCACCCGGTATTACGACGTTGCTTCCTGTTGCTCTGACCTCTGCTGCTTGAATGGCTGCAGCATCGCTCTGGTCGACTGGTTTGTCACCTGCAGTGTGAGCGGTCGCTTCTAGAGTTTGTCCTATGGTGACCGCGTTCTGCATTACTGTGACTGCTCCAATAAAGGGTGTAGGCTCCACAAACTGCCCAACGATCTGCACCCAGAAAGAAACATATGCAAAACAGAGTACGTTTGAGATTCTATCGACGTAAAATACATATTTTCAAGATTTCATTTTTTGACTAAGATACCATAAGAAAAATTTAATTAAGAATCTAGAAAAGGGTACCTGTCCGGCAACTGTTTCGGTGATGATGCGACTTCCCGGAACATCGGTTTCTTTGACGGCAACTCCTTGGTCTCTGGCAGCGTCACTGACATCTTCATGGCCGACGAGGCCGGAGCGCTCGTTCCGGGTGGCGGCAGACTGCATGGCGGCGGCGGGGCCGCCTTTCTGGGTGTGACCGAACACCATGGTTTCGGCGGTCTGCATCATGTCAGCGTCCACCGGTGGTATGGCCTTGGAGGCAAGGTCTCCAGAGACGTTGAAAACGTCGCCATACTTGATAGGTTCTGGCTGTTGGCCGCGGCGTGGCTGTTCTTGGCTCATTTGCTCTTCCTGAAGTAAAGGATCCTGAAAGAATCTGAGCAGGAGGGAATATTGCAGGTCGAGGAGTGGATTTAAACGGTCGTGGCTGGAAGGGAAGGCTAATGACACGTTGGTTCGACCAGACACGTGTTAAGCTCTGTTGACTATGTGATACAGGTTTCATTAGTAGTGACAACCAGCTGTTGAGTGCCATTATGTATCAGCATACTACTGCGACAGATGGCAGCCTGTAAGTAATGTTCTTTCAGCCAACCGGAGACGCCATTGAAGCTGAAGCTCTGGATTTTTTGCATCAATTACTTACTAGCTTCTTTCAAGCAATATTTTACTTTGAGTTGCTCAAACCCACCCTCCTCTCACTGAGGCTTTGTATAAATGTTCTTGCTCAATACTTCAGAACCCATTTAAGTATTTGGAAAATTTGAACTATTCACATCGCCTTTCAATTTGCTGACAAAATTGTTTCGACATCCCCACCATTTGACTGAACTTTACTTTGTACTCACCTCCAAGATCACCATTCATTCATCACCCAAAAATCTATTCCTACCTACCCATTTTCCTGTAGTGAGAATTCTAGTGATATCATTCCAACACAATTCCAAATGGTTTCGGCAAACATCCATTATCATGACACAGGCGTCCAATATAGCCTTCGTTGAGAAATAGAACCACATGATTTGATTTTTTGTCAATTTTCATGATTCGAATTCCTTATAATCCCATTTACCAACACAACACAAGTGAATCCATTCCAACAAACATTTTAAATAACAAAGGGGGAGGGGTAATACGAACAGATTTAGTAATAAACTGTATGGTCATGCACGTCGATTATAAGTCGAACAAGATTCTACTGTAGACCCTTTCTAAGCCCCTTATCAAGACTACGTTCGACTACAATATTTAAGCTATATCATACTCTTCTTCCCGACTTGCAACCTCCAGTCCATTACCTGCATAGAGATGGATTGATTACCAATTGATTGAATATCAGAACGGTTAACATTCAACTATACAAGTCTACTCATTAGTCAGCAACCAGACTCCATAAAAACAAAATTTCTATATCAGGCATGTTGGAACAACAGAGCAAATAATCAAAAGATAAAGTTGATAACAGAGAAGAGTCGGGTAAAAGAAAAAGTTACGTTAATCATAATTATACACACACACAAAAGGGGGGAAAATTGGTTTGGCAGAAACTTACCATCCGGATCAAAGAAGAAGATTTGCTTAACCTTCCCATTTGGTAGGGTCTTCTCAAAAGTCTGGATTCCCTTTTCCTGCAGAAAATTCAAAATTAGTCTAGATATTCGATATATTTGTAAAAGGCAAGCACAAACATTTTATAAACTGTGAGAAAATATTTCCAGAGAACTATTTCTACATACGATTCAAATATACTCTTGAAACTTCAATATTTTGTAAACATACAGTATAATACTGACAAAACCTCAATGATCTTTTTCAAGGAAGATTTCTGAGAGCCGTAATTATTACTTACTCACTGAGTTCAAGTCTTAGTCAAGATTGAATTAAAATTCCTCCCAAATAATAAATTATAGAGCCGGACAATCAGAAACCAATTCTACAGGTAAATCCTAGAGTTCATTTCGAAATCCTAAACCTTTTTTTTTCGCTTAGCATAAACAAATCCTAACGTATGATTAAGTATATGAATAGCGCATAAATCTCGAGTGCTTTTTCCAAATCACTATGATGAGAAAAGCAAAATCAAAAGGATAATTTATAAATTTACCTTTAGAGCATGAACGAGGGAGTCAAAGTTGGAACTGGAGACAGAGAAGCAGATGTGGTGACCTCGGGGGAGGTGGCTAGGGTCGGCAACGGGTGACGCGGCGCTCCATGGACCTTCGGGAAGCTTGGATTTAGGGTCTCTCTCGATGAGGTGGAGTTGAAAGGCAGAGGGAAGATTTAGCCATACAACCTTGAATTCTCCGAATTTTGGACTCTCAATTTCCTCGAATCCAAACATCTGCACCACCAAATTACAACCGCCATGAACAATACTGCTGTCAATAAAGAACGTAAAGTTCGAAGATAGAATTTCTATACCTCTTTGTAGAATTCAGAGAGGCGAAGGACATCCGAAGATTCTCTGGCTATATGGCCGAGAGACGCTGATTTCGCCACCGGAGCTGCCATTTTCTTCTTGAATCAGAACTGAACTGAACTCGATTCTTCTCGAAGATCCTTATATTTTGTTTGCAGAACTCGTCGACAATACGGAGACGGCGTCGTATACTACGTTTATCCGATTATTGCGAATTCGTAGATATTTTTAATTATTTTAAATTTAATTATCTAAGCATATTTATTCATCTCTGGATTTAACAATATAGTTAATTCAAAGAATTAAGACACCTAATACTTCGATTTTCACCCTAATTGTTGCACCCAACAATGAAAAACCGATTTGAAATTTAAAACTTTGTTTAATCCAACAAATTTTCCCTGCATAATTTGAAAATTACTTCTCATTATGATGATTGATCGATTGTTTTATTCTTGTTTTACCTAAGGTTCTCATTAATACTTCTAATTTAATAAAATTATGTCACATAATAAAAAGTTAGTCAAAATGTTTGCTTTTTCTATTTCATTAATATGTGAATATTGTTACATTAGGGAGAATACTATAAAGTTTAGTTTAAGACCAAAGTAAGTTTGGTAGGCTTCTTTTTACGTGTATTGATTATCTAAAAGTGAGATTATGATAAAATTCTCAAGTTTCATATGTTTTATATATTTTCCAAGAGTTGAAGGTTTCATGATTTAGTGTTTGGTGATGAATTGAAACGTTATAATACTGCCAACTTCAAATAAAAACAAGGTTCCCTCGATCCTTTTCGTGCCGAGATTGTATGGTAAAAGGTCAGTGAAACATAAGGGTACTTTTTTGTTAGTACATCAAGCGGTGGTGGAGGTTTCGAACTCATAATGTGACGTTCGAGTAGAGAGGAGGGATATATGAAAGAATCGATACTACGTCTAAATGAGAGAGATCCTGAGACCATAGAAGATGGTTAAGAAAACTTAAAAAAAATGATAGTTACTACCTGTACCAATAAAGTGCACCTTCCTTTTCGATGCCTCAATCGTAAGAACTCTAAAATTAAGCGTGCTTAAGTAGCTCAGGACTAAACGGTGGTGCAGCCGAGTCATTACTTTTGTGTTGACCTGGTTAATCAACTAGGTCAGGTGACCTAATTGATTAACTAAGAGCATTCCAAAAAGATTTGTTTTGATTTGTTTTCGCTCTTCTAAGTAGCTCATATTAAAGATAGTGGCCCAGCCAACTCGCAGTGGATTAAGGAGAATGTCAGTCAATTAGGTGCCGAATCTGAATTTCGAATCCTGACTTGGGCGCATTACTATTACATCTTCTATTTTGAATCTATATTTACATGGTTCTATTTCTAAATTTTATCCAAAAGTTTCATACCAAACGAAGATGTTATGGATTTTTCTTCCTTGGTTGGTTGGACCAGATGCAGAGTTGATGTCCAGAGACAGATTCATAGAAGAGAGTGGAAGAATGAGTCATTGGCCATCAATTAACACAAGGGAACTGATGCTTGAGAATCTCAATTAGAACATATGCACTGCTTTCATCCGTACTTTTGAATGCCTTTTATGTGCAATAATGGAAAAGCAACAGCAAAACCCAAACAGTTTCAAGCCATGAAAAACAAATCAGAACTCATCTCAATCAAATGAAATAAAGAAAAAAGTTGCTCTTCAAGTTCTTTGAAAATCAACCTATATTGATTAATTCAGCTAAGAGGGAGAAAATCAGGGCAGTTAATCAGATCTTATTAAAATTGCTCAACAATGGAGATTGCAACAGAGAAACGATTTAATTCACTGTACAAGCACCAAATGACCTCCTCTGAAACCCCCACTCTTATCCCCCCACGCACCTTTTTCTCCGGCGTTCTCCGTCTTCGGAACCGTCACGATCAGCTTCCCTCCGGCGAACTTGGCGGTTGCAAGCTCCGGCCGAGTCGTCTCCGGCAGTCGAAATCTCCACGCGTCGATCTCCGATTCATCCAACCACAATTCCAGAGGCCTAATTTGTCTGACCACAACCTTGATAACCCCAGGATGAATTTGAACCGTATGTGCCCTAAATTCTTGGCTAATTCCCTCGGTTTCCGCTACGAATCGGAAGCAATTCCTGTTTTCGGAAATCGAAACATCGGCATCGGACCGAAACGGGAGCTCCAGAACCCGGCTGAAGACGTGGGGCAAACGCTGGAGTTTCTTAGGGCTTAAACCTAGAAACGCTTGAGCACGAAAGCGCGAGTTGCGGCCATTTGGATTGTATTGAACAGTAATGTTTTGGCTGTTTGGCACTGGATGGACCTTCTTCATGGCGTCGATTCTTCTTCTTCTTCTTCTTCTTCTGCTTTTCTCTCGTCAATGAGTGCGATGAACTGAGATAAATGGCGAAATCTGTGGTTCTGTGGTGAAGTAAGGAACATCGATTTCAGAAAGGAATCAAAATTTCGATCGGATAGTTGATGTTTGGAAGAAAAGGAAGATTCACGAAGGAATTGAGATTATTGGATTCGCGGCTTCCGCTCTCTTTATCGGGAGAAACTAAACACAAAATCGAAACCAAAACCAAAACGGAAACGGAAACCTTTTTCTAAATTATGAAATTGAAAATTGAATTGAAGCATACAAAAGAATCGAGGAAATACAAGAACGTGTTCTTCAAGGAGAGTCCTAAAGGTAGATTTCTTTTTGCAGAGAATGTTTGCGAGAAGAGAAAAACAAGACCGAAGATTGCAGGGAACAAGCAAAATTGGGTATAATTTGTCTTTTTTTTTCTTCTCCGTTTTAAAAAAATAGCTTCTATTATATTTTCTCTTTTTTCCAAATTAATTCAAGCAAATTTTTAAGTTAATTGTCACGTGAAATTGAATGTTTAGTATTTGAAACTATAAAAAGATAAAAGAGTATTTTCTTGCAAGATTTAAATAGCCAAAAGCAAACATAATTGACATATATCTCGGAGAGATTTTAAATTCGATCCTTCGGAACCGGTATGATATTGTCGACATATTAATCTTATGAAATTTTTTATAAGTTTTTTCTATAATATCTTTTAAACTGAATAATTGATGTTAAAAAAAATTTATAATTTTTTTTAAATTTAGAAACCTACATCGTATTATTTGAATCAAACTTCACGATAAAGTATATTACAGTATTTATTCAAAAAAAAATTGAAAAAGGTGCCTCGGTTCAATTATTTAAATTAATATTTTGGGCTTGAATTATATTTATACTACAAAATTATTTTTATATAATAAGAAATGGATTATCCAACTCATCGAAAGTTTTTTTCAACAAATATATCCTTTTTTTAGAATCCTTACAAAAAAGAAATACACTATATGTGTGAAAATAGTTCTCTCTGCAATAGTATTCAAATGTAAGGAACAACTACTGTTTCCATTATTATAAGTTTTGGAAAATATTGACTCATTTCTCTCTCGTTTAAGTACTTTTTAGTTCGATCAGTCTATAGTAACTATCTAGTTTATGTTGGATTTGTAAAAAAGTACAAATAAAGTCTCACATTAGCTAAAGAAAATCAAAGTGATCTATGGTATAAGAGAACAATTATCTCAATTGATATGAGTCATTTTAGATGAAATCAAAAGTAAAATTGTGAGGATACCGTGTTCTTTAACGGTTGACTTAAACAAAAGTCAAATATATATTTATTTGTAGAATTTCTATTTGGATGAGAAGTTAGCTTAGATTTTTTAAATTGAGTAGGATAAAGTAGAAATTTAATTTATTGTTAATAGGTTATCCACCGGCAAAAGTTATATCTTTAAAATATCATATTACAGTTCATTGTTAATTGTGTTGTTTAATAATTCAACTTGAGTTGAAGATAAAATTGAAGATCTTTAAAATATTAGATAAGGAATTGGAAAAAAAAAATGGTGCCCATGAATTAGCACGATTTCCTCTGACTTTCTTTTTCGAAGAAAGGAGTAAAAAGGAACCTGACGAGCAAGTCAATCAACACAAAAGTTGTCTTTCCGATATATATGTCAGATATCAATACTCTATCTCAGATAAACAAACCGTAAAATATTCGATACCAGCAACCGAGAACAATGAGAATGTTTAGCCAAAATATCATGGACCACTTGGGAGTTAACCTCACCCAACGAATTTCTACACCTCGAACTCCAAGCTAACTGCAGGCTTGAGAAAACAATCCACAATTTAGCTAGGATCGAAGTTGACTGATCAAGATTTTGCATGAAGGCTTTCATATACTTGGATATCTTCTCCACCTTATGTCACATTTCATTTTTTCATTATTAAAATTTATTTTTATTAAAAACAAAAGAATTGGAAAAAAAAAAAACTATGATTAAATACCTATTTTGTATATATAAAAGTCATAGTAGAGGTGTGAGTTTGAATCCCCACTTTTACCAATATTAAAAAAAAATTATTGTATTAATTTGTTTTTTGAATTTAATCTTTTATTTTTATTTAAAAGTGAGAAAAAAAATTCAATATAACATTTACTAAAAAAGAAAAAAATGTGAGATTGTTGGTGATTGAACTTAGGATTACTAGGAACAAGAGCTTTTTATTTTTATTTTAAGAATAAAAAAAAGACAACATACAAACGACCCAAAACGAAGAATTTTTTAAGCATTATTTTTTTTAATAAATTTGGTTGGAAGTTAGAATACTTTTTAAATTAATAATATTTGAAAAAAAAATATCCACAAATATAGAGGGTAGGAATATGAATCTCCAACTCAAAGAGAAGAGTTTCTATACCATTATCCCCTCAATTATGTTCACATTAGTCTATTATTTAAAATTTTATAATTTTTAAACAAGTTTTTAACATTTTTCAATTAAGGTTTAAATTAAAATTAGTTATGATAAAGCTTACACAATATCTTTCACATGCCTCTTCTAAAATTCTTAAAGAAAGTAGCATGGATTTTAACTTTTCTCTTTATAATTTTTTTCAATAAATTTGTGAACTTATTTTATTATGTCAAGATCAAAGTATATTTTTAATCTTTTAACTTAAAACTATTAAGAGAATAAATATTTGTCTACTCCAAAAAAAAAATTCAATGAACTGAAAGAAAGACTGCCCATAATTTTTGTTATCAAGATATCCTTTTTTTATTATTGTTTCGAGGAATTTTTTAGAAATCCATGACCATATCGCAAACGTTTAAATTTAGAAAAATACGAGTTGGGTGGTAGTTGGATTCACACAAATGAGATATTTTGGGTAAAACAAAAATCAAAATCGTGAGAGTTATATTTAAAGCGGACAATATCATACCATTGTCGAAATGTAGAGAGTCATTTGTCTCTCAAATAGTTAATAGCAACAATTTAAATATTATTAGACTAACTACCTATAAGCTTACAATGAAAGGTATTGGAAAGTCGGTAATCTACCATAAAAATACTTTTATTTAATCAATGATCGAAATATATAGCTTAATCAGTTGGAAAAAAAAAGATAAAAAGGAAAAAAAAATCTTATGATATAGTATAGTGGTCCAAATTAAAAAAAGAAAAAAAGAAAAAAGAGTAAGATCTACTTTTTTAAATGCATTAGAAATTTAGAATTAGACCACAAAAACAAATTCAATAGAAACGTTCTATTTTCGTCATTTCAACTGACTTCTGAGATATTTATTCAAATAAGAAATAGTTTTTCTGTGGTATGAATGGGCCTATTATTGGTACTTCATACTAAAGAGCCCAACGCGGCTGGCCCAAAGTTTAGCCCAATACGTAATGACTTGACATTCCCAAAAATTACAAGTACTTTCCCAAAAATTACGTTTTGTCTTTTTTTTTTTTCTTTTGAAGAAATTATATTTTGTTTTTTGTTTCTTAAAGAATTCTAAATAAAATTTCATAAGTTGTAAAATACTTGGAATCTATCTAATGTATTTGATGTTGGTAATAATCCTGACGAATGTAATAAATGTAATTTCATAATTATTAACAGTAATTTGAACTTTTTTTCGAATATATATGTAATTAACAATTTGAGATATAATTAAATTGAACGATTTTAAACACCTATTAATTTAAAATATTTGAAAATTTATACTATACCTATTAATTAGGATCATCAATTTTAATACGATTGATATTATTCGATGCATTGACTATTTTATCTTTGTGTTATTTTGTAAATTTTTTCTTAAATTGTTATACATTCAATTTCAAATGTCCTTATTGTATATGGCACCCTCAAAAGATATGCACCTTGTTGAAGGTGACTTAAATTGTGTCCCATCCACACAGTTTTGATATATTGTACTATGGTTTAACAAAAAAATCATTAATGGGACAATATTGCTACTAGATTTATAATATCTTGAATTCTACGTAATTTTGGATCCAAAAAATTATTTAGTTATTTATGTGGCTTCAAATGAAAATGATTAAAATAAATATAACTAAATTTATTTATTTGAATGTTGACTAGAAACAAAAAGTTTAATAATATAGACATTTAATTTTAATTTATCAATTAAAATTTAACCTATGATGAGATTAAATAAGTAGATTAAATAAGTAATTTATTCTAAAGTCACGAAGTTCAAATCATTCTCAATGGAATTATATAAAATTTTTCAAAATAAATAAAAGTGATTCGAAGTTTTACTTAAATTTATGTTGAAGTTGTAGTTTTTCTTAAAATTATTTCTTTATAGGTTTATAGAATGCAGACTTGTATTATGATGATACTTTTTACTTGGGGTTAACATAGTCTAAACGATAGGCAAACGGTTTGGTATGTAAGTAAAAAAGAAGGTAATTTTGTGAGGGAAAAGTTTTAGAGTTTGATATTTATTTTTGCATATTTTCTAGAGAGAGATAGAGATAAAAATTTAAAAAAAAAAAGGAAAAGAAAATAAAGTGAATCCAATGATTCAATTTAATTTAAATACTCTACTTCTTCCTTCCCAATCAACCCAATTTTGTATTAAAAAAAAAAAACCAGTTTTGATAATGTTTTGACTTTAATGGAAGCACAATCAATCTTTCTTAAATCTCACTTAAACCAAGAAATTATTACAAAACAATACTTAATTCATCACTTCATTGAAAAAATAATAATAATAATAATAAACCCAATTCTTCTTTATCCACAATATTAATGTCATATACACAATTAAATCATTGAAATTTATTCCAATTTTTTCTTCTCTAAAAGAAACAGAAGAAAAGTAAACTCATATTCATTTATATAATTAAAAGAGCAAAGAACAAAAATCGGAGTTATATTATTTTTTGTTTGTCATGCATGGGGAGAGGAGGAGCTTGTTTTGGCGAGAATTTTCTCATCCATTTTTCCTAGAAAATTAAATCTTTCACTTTCCGGGAAAAAGGAAATTACATGAGAGAGAGAGAGAGAGATAGAGAGGCATATATATATATATATATATATATTATAATTAACCATTAATTAATGGATAAAAAAACTAAAAGGAATTAGAAAAAGACGACATGTCGCGGACCTGGGAAGTGGAGGAGGAGGAGGAGGACGACAAGTCGGTGGAGCGCCTCCTGAGCATTTGCCTGATGCCGTCGGCGACTTTAACGGCGGGGTTAGACTTGGAGTACTTACGGCAGAAGAGCATGTGGGCGTTAACGGCGTCTTGGATTCCGATACCGATCCCTCCGGCTCCGGCGGCGGAGGGTGACCGGAAAATCTCGTCGCGGACGGCCTCGGAGCAGAGGCCGCAGAGCCAGTGGGCGGCGAAATTGGCCTTCACTTGGGAGATGTAATTTTGGGTGCACTCTTCTTTTAAGCCGCAGCACTCGCAGTTCACCACTTCAATAATCTCCATATTTTTCCTTTCCCCCTTTTTCTCTCTCTCTTTTTTTTTTCTTTTCTTTTTTTACTTTGCCTTCTTCTTCTTCTTCTATAATCTGATATATAGAAACAACAATCTCAAGGTCAAGCCTAAACAAAAACCATATCAAAACTTTTTGGATTTTACTGCAAATAATAATAATGGGATAAAGTGGCCTGTATCCTTCTTTTTACTATCTATCCTATTTCTATTCCTAATCCTATAACTTTTTTCTTTTCTTATATTATGTTTTGTGACAAGTTGAGAAGAGGAGGATGGAAAGAGAGAAAAGAAATAAGATATTTTTGTTTGAAAAAAAAAAGAATTAACAACGGTACAATTATTAATAGTGATTAGCAGCAAAGAATAATTTTGCTCAAACGAGTTTGTTTGGGGTGAAAATTGTACTACCATATGGAAGACATTTGAAGATCTTTCCTTTGGTGGCCGACCTGAAGATATTCCCTTTAGTGGTCGATCTGAAGTGATCGACTTGAAGAACTCCCCTAAGGATCGACTTCATCATGGCCTTCCTTGGTGGTCGATCTGAAGAGCTCCCTGACGGTCAACCTCATCATTGTCTTGTCTAGTGGCCGACCTGAGGCCTTCCTTGAAGGTCGACATGAACGTCTTCCCTAAAGATCATTCAAAGGAGCAACGACCTTCCATACTTAGCCAACTCCTGGCCAACCTTGGTCCCGACATGCTCAACCGCTAGTCGGATTCCTTGTCAGATACCTCAATCTATAAATAAGACACTTCACTCTTCAGTCAGGAATGATATTCTAGCTTGATCTCCATATTAAGGTTGGACACAAAACTGACCTGAGCGTTAAGCATCGGAGTGTTTGTTCCCTTGTGCAGGTCTTTCCTCGCCAAGTGGTCTTTCAGCTCATTCCTGACACTTCAGCTCATTCTAGTCGGTCGACCTTAACCTCTTGAGCTAGTCATTCCTTCCCAAGGATATCCAACTCTTCCTGCGGTCATACCTGGAGCAGGTCGAGCTCTTCTGCGTGGCCGACATTGACTAGGTTATACCTTGTTACATTTTTTGCATAAACAAAATTGATAATGAAAGGAGAAGTCTAGGTCTATTATAAAACTTTTGTTTCCCAATTAGTTTTGATATGAAACTCCAATCAAGATGGGTGAATCCAATAGAGGCACGATCTTGGAGGCATGGTAAAGATCTCACATTGAAAAAGATAAGCGATTATTTTAACAAGGATACCTTCCCATCTTTTTCTTTTGACTTTATACATGACGTGAAGAGAATAAGACAGAACGTCATAGGGCTAAACTTGCGATGAAATATAATCCAAGATCCTTTAGGTCTGACTCAAAGATTGCCCTCAACAATTTAGAGATATGGAGGATCAAACCTCTGATGTCGAAAGAGGGAGAATATGTCAATTAAAACTCAAAAGCCTGTTGCTTATTCTCTATTTAATCCAAAAAGAAATTTGGATGTGAGAGAGAGAGAGGGAGGGTTAAAAGGAAGTAGGGAAATGTGCCATAATTTCCTCCATGTTCGAAGGGACATGGGGCAGTGGAAAATGAAACAAAGGTGGCCCTTTCCATCATCCATTAATATTTGATGGTTGGTCCCATTAAAATCCAAAAACCAAATATGTGGAACTAAAACACTCCACTTTACACCTTTCAATTTCTAAATTCTCCAATAATTCATCCTCCAAATTCAATCACGAAATTTAAAATTTAAAAGTACGCAGTTTTGTCACTTTTTCAAGCGTGTGTGTATACCTACACATATACATGTATATTATATATATATATATATACACACACACACACATGTGTATGTTTTGTCGTCACATTTTATATATATATATATATATATATTCATCACATTTTCAACAGTTAAGATATATACATTATAGATAACACTTCAAATTTTCACCAACTCAAAAAAAATATATATATATATAATTAGTAGTCTACCCTTTTCTTTTCGATTTTACATCATAAGAATCCTACAAAATCTTATCAAAAGTTGTAGTTGAGCATGAGAAAGTATAATTATGAAGTCCAATTTACCAAATATCTTATTCAAGTAAACATTTTGATCTATAACTTAAATCTTCTACCATTGTCTTTAAGGAAAAATAATATTTTAAATTGAAGTTTTAATCCGAATCGATGAAAAAGAAAAGAAAAAAGTTGTTATAACCCGAAATTTCAAAAGAAATGATCACAGATAGAAGTATAGAAAAGCTATATTGTTGACTAAGAAAAGGAGTAGTCTTAGAGTGAATGCCCAGATGATTACCCTTCAATAATTGACATTAAAATGATTGCTTCCAAGTATGTTAGTGAATTTTGAACTATGTTTGGTGGTTGACAAATTTACACATGCAATTATACAAATCATTTCTCTTACTCTTTAGAGAAGAGGAAAAAAAAAATGGTATAGCCTTTACTTAAAGGATGGGGAATACTTGATTCTTTCTTTCTCAATGAGCAATTTAAAAAGAAATTAAAAAAATTTGCACATTAAGTATTTTTAGTTTATGGCAGTTGTAGGTTCCATGTGGCCATGGGACACTAACAAAACACTTTCACTTTCAGTTGGAAATAATTGAGAATTTGACCTTTAAATATGTTGATCTCCTCAGTCTATATAACTTTGGCTATAGTTTCTCTCCCACGGGCTTTCACATGAAAATAAATTATAATGATTTGAATTCCGTTTAATTAGTAATTGAACTTTTTTTACTACAACAATTTGAGGATATGAGAGATCGAACATCTAACCTTGAATAAAAATACATTTCAATTACCGTTGAGTTAGCCATTTGATCACTAATATGAATGGTGAGAAAAAGAAAAATATTTTTTTATGCAAAGTTTGTATTGTAACACTTATTTGACCTAGAAGGCTCCTGGTAGTTCAACGGCCGTTTGACTGATCCGACGGTTCAGATTTGCTGCTAGCGTTTCTTGATGATCTGACAGGTGCTTAGAAACTTACTTATGGGTCAAAATATCATACGTGCAAGAGAAATATTTGGTTGGTTGATATTTTTTTTTCAAAAAAAAAAAGAGATAGTTATAATCTAAGAACAACGTATAGGGTAGGGGATTTTGGTTGGAGATATATGTCAATTATGCTCGTTGTTACCTATTTTTCAGTTTTAATTGGCCAGGTGAAATTCACCTGTTATTTTAAAATAAATAAACTATATATAATTTCACTTTCCATCTCTGTCATTTTTAATTTTATTATTTCTTTTCAATAAAATTATATTGTAATATTAAAATTGATGGATGAAGTATGACATCAATTACATTTTATCAATTGAATTAAAAAATGGCAAAACAGAAAGAATTTTTTCCCCTTCCATATCTTGCATCTATAGTATTTTTGCCCTGGTGGATCTCTCTTTCATTTAATAAAAGTCTAGAATCTTGGGTTACTAATTGGTGGAATACTGGGCAATCCGAAATTTTTTTAAATGATATTCAAGAAAATAATATTATAAAAAAAGTTATAGAATTAGAGGAACTCTTTCTCTATTGAAAATACTTTATGTTTTGATTTAATGGATTAGACATGTCTACCTATATAATTGAAATCTATCCATTTTCATACTGTTTGACTCATAATAATTAATTTCATCAACCATGCATAAAACATATTAATTAGCTAGGTAGAGAACTTTTATGAGTGGTGTGTTGCTAAGAAAAATAGACTAGTTAATAATATTACTTTTAAATTTTCATTAAAAATATATTAATTTTAAATTCATTCAGTAAGGATTTTAATTACTTTTAGAAAACTTGAAGCGCTTAGTTTCAAAGATGAAAGATAAAATTGGAAGGTGAGAATAGGGACAACTTTAATTTGTAGGTATATTTAGCTAAAAAGTGAGAACTTTTGAAAAATACTTATTAGACCCATTTTTTTATTTTTTTTTTTATTTTTTGTAAAGATGTTAGATATTCCATAAATGTTAAATTTATCCATTTTTAGGTGCATGGTGATTAAGATGGTATTGAAGTATTGTCATTTCCTCTCCGTTTTGTTGGGTCTTTTATAAATTTTCTATACCACAGATGAAAATAATTTGTAGATATCTTATCTAATCATGTTTAAGAAATGATGTCATTAAAATCATTTATCCATATTGTATTGTAAGAACGAGAAGAAAATAATTAGATACAAAGATTGTGCCTAAATTCCATGTACTCTTACAATAATGCAAACAACTTTTTGGCTTCATATGAATCATTTAAAGTTCCAAACTTTAGAAGAGAAAAAAGTAACTATATATATAAAGCGATATATATTTTATTTTTTGAGACATATATAAAGTGATATATGGTATGCTTTATATTTAATTGTTTACTTATGTCATATTCTCATGTTTTGCCCCCAACAAGCAATTCAAAATATAATTTTATATTTTGAAATCAGTGTGCCATAAATGTTGGTTTTAGCTTATTTTTTATTTTTATTTTTTTAATTTTTCATTCTTCTATTTTTTTTTCCTATTGGGTGATGTAATAATGATTGTGTATTTGCATCACTAAATTAATTCAAAGCACCTAGATTAAATCGGAAGCATTTATGAAAAGTTGATCATGTTTGTAAAATATAAATGATCTTTTTTAAGTACATCATGGGGTGAGGGATCGAACTTACAACCTCTTGGTTGGAAATATATGTCAATTACCACTGAACTATATTTGTTCTGTCAATGAAATTTAATTCTACGTAACTTCATAACTCCATATCCACCGCAAACTAAATATAACTCAACTGTACGTTAAAGTTCTCATCTCCGATCAATAAATTGTAAGTTTAAATCTTCACCTCCTATATTGTAATATTAAAAAGAAAAGAATATTATGTCCCTACTTCTTAGATTTCTTACGTTAGTGGATTCTTATAATCGAATACGGAAAACAGTGTAACAACAATTACAAGAAGTATTTTACATGAAAGATCTTTGTAGAGATCACAATAGAAAAAAATTCAATCCAAATGTTTTTAATCAGAAAAAACATTTTATATATTTGGAAATATGACAAATTTTTT